CTCTCTCTCTCTCTCTCTCTCTCTCTCTCTCTCTCTCTCTCTCTCTCTCTCTCTCTCTCTCTCTCTCTCTCTCTCTCTCTCTCTTTGGTCGTCGTGACGTCGTCTTCTTCTTCCCCACTGTGGTCTTCCTTCCTTGGTGCGCCGCGGCGATCTTCAGCGACGAGCGCTGATGGCGAGCACAGACGGGCGCGCTATCAATAACGGCGGAGGGTCACAACGGGCGCGCGACAACAGTGGCGCACGAGTAGCAGCAAGGCGCGCACGGTAAAAGCTGGCGCGCAACGCGCAATCGATCAGCAAGCACACACAGAAAAGTGGGCACACACAATTCACAGTGAGCGTGCGGCAAACAGCAAGGCGCGCACAATGGCAGCGGTGAGCAGTTAAGCAGTGGGTGCGTGCGGCGAGTATCGGGCACGCGGAAAACAGCAGCGTGTGTAATCGGGAGCAGGCGCGTGCAAGCCGCGGCGCGCGGGAAAATGGGCACGCGCAAATGCAGATGTGGCGTGTAAGCGCCTCTCCTCCTTTCTTCACAGAGCGATGATGATGACGACGACGGCGGCGATCGCGGCAGCGGCGGGACAGCGGGAACCTCCGAACCAGCTCTGATACCAGTGCAATCAGACTTGTCTTCAACTCGCTCAGCATGCATGGAAACAGATGACATTCAAACTTGGGGCACAACGCCCACACAAAGCTCAAATTAAAACGTGGCCAGGAACACAGCTCAGATTCAAACTTGTCTTGACCCTTGATGGCTATGGCGCATGGCACCAGACAAGGATTCCCACCCTGGATATTCCGCACGCACATATACACAACCCACGCACACACACACACACACACACTCTACCCCTATCCTCCGTGGCAGCTATGAATGAGCCTATGGCTCCCGTCTAACCCCTATGCTAACTCGCGGCTATGGCCACGTCCTCCTTCTCTTTGCCCGCTTCTTCCTCGGGCACCTGCAGACCTCCGTAGCACAAGATGCTCCGACAGCGCTTACCAATGGCTCACAGGCAGAATGAATGAATGACTTGACGCTGCCTCTTTATTTGTACTTCGGATCGTCATTGGTCTGCCCTTGGACCCTGGGCCTGGGGTGTACCCAGTCCCACATGGTACTTGCTGACTGGACAAGGTGCGACCGGGACTGGGTACCGCTGACTGGAGTAGGTAGGACTAGGACTGCCCTTTGCTGATTGTGCTAGGACTGCCCTTTGCTGACTCAGCCGCGGACTGACTCCTAAGACCTACGAAGAGCTAGTTCTTAGACTTCTAGAAGGTCGTGGACTTGACCTTTCGGAACTGTCACGGATACGGCCTGTACTAACCCTATGACTTCTTATTCTAAGGTCTACGGGTCAAAACCTCTCGATGGCCTATGTACATCAGTCAGAACATACGACATTTGAGAAACACGTCGCAGGTTCAAAGACACGGGCCAACGGGTACTGTACGTGGGTAAAGGAGAGGTCTAGGGATAGAGCCCTGGGTTCTGCATCTGTCACCGTAATCCCAACCAATTCAATTACCTGTCCAATGTGGACAGGATAGAAAAAGTGAGCACGCAGGGGGGAAACAAAAGGGATAACGAGGGAGCAGCCACAATATTAGTTTTAAATCCAGTTCACGCATCCCTTGAATACAGCACATCCCCACGCACCCATAAAGCTGGGTTGTATACATTCACTATTTTCCTCTGTTTGACACAACATAACATTCGCGAAATCGTGACTTAAAAGCATTTTCAAACTGACCTGACAGCGCCCTACCTTCTTCCCCCAATACAATGCACGGTCATTGTAGCTGTTTTTAGACTGAAAAGTATTGCCAAATACAGCTATAATGACCCTACGTTGTATTCGGGGGAAGAAGGTAGTTTTCCCAACAAAAAAAAAGAAACGAAGGCGGACGCCTGCAAAGATATCACTGCGTGAGTTCGGAATGGCAATTTGGGTAGAAAAGAATCCATGGGCCGTTTTTTTTTTCCCATGACACCCGGGGCCTTGTCCCAATTACCCAAATTCTGAACTAACTCTTCTGACCGTAGATTAGGAAGATCAACGGCCAGAGATGAAGAATCGGTGTAGCTGGGACTTCTCCCCTGGCCTGACACGACGGCCGTTGGTGCATTCATTGCCTGTTTTCTTCATGGTGAGGCGTAGGCGCCTGTTTTCTTCATGGTTGTGCTGGACCCTGACATCCAGACACCCGACACGGGCCCGGACCTGTGTCTGGATTAATCTGGACGTCCCTCCGGTTAACCGAACATCAATCTGGACAACGGAACATCAATCCGGACAGCAGGACATGCGGACACAAACTGTCCGGTTGTGCGTGGCCAAGTAGGGATGTCCGGATTACAAAAACAAAAAAAAACAAAAAAAAAAACAAACCAAAAACCCAGCAGACAAACACACACTGATGCAGCTACAGAAGTTGCCCCATCTGCAACAGCAGCTACACAAGCTGCTGCAGCTGCTGTAGCAGATGGAGAAGCACTGAAGCAGCGTCTGCAGCTACTGCAGTGTGTGTGTGTGTGTGTGTGTGTGTGTGTGTGTGTGTGTGTGTGTGTTACCTTCTTCGTTTTTCTTTGTTTGTTAAACTTGTCTATGTTTTTTTTTTTTAAAATGTTGCTATTTTCTTTTCCGAACAGGACTGCCGCGGTTGTCCCAGCTGGCTGCAGAGGATTCGAAAATGGCCTCCTGGCGGCGGGCAGCAAATACCTTCAACCTCCGCCGTCGTGCTGCCCGCTGGACTTTGGCAAGTGCAGGCCTTTCAGGGCCGGTCCGGTTGGCCTGACGGTCCAGAAAAAGCTACGGCAACAATTTTTTTGGGTCCCCCAGGCACGGAAAAATCGCCTGGGGGCTCCATTTTTTGGGGGGGAATTTCTTCACCCGGACATCCAGACCCAGGCTGTCTGGATTGGGATCAACCATGGTTTCCTTTGCCGGCACGTGTTTTTTGTGTTCACTCTATACTCAGAAGTGACATCAACGTACTTACCCCCCCAAAAAAACTGGACACCAGTGGACTACTAGTCTTCTCCGCATCGTGCAGATTCTGCACCTGACCCAAAAACCAAAAAAGGATTCTGCACCTAACCATCTGGCAGAGGCATGGGCCCAAATAACCCAAATAATGAAGGCGAATTCGAGCGCAAACAACACGAATTCAAATTGAATTTGTCTTTTTTGGTGGGTTCTCTGTATGCACTGCATAATAGCCTTTTTGACATCTACAGCTAAAGAAGTCTAAACCACCAGTATGTTTCCCAGGCTCCAAAGGTCCCAGCTGCTATGAAAAAAAACTATGCAGCTTGCATGCAGCCGCAAGTTTAGGGGGGCTCCGCCGCGGCGCTGCCAGAACAAAATGAGCGGCGGTGCCATCAGAAAGGAGGCCCGCACCACTTTCTTTGTTTTCGGCGCGCAGCCCGTTTCTAGCCCCGGAGAAAGTGCCTCTGAAGAACTCGTGGTTTAACACTGCACAGAAGAAGGGGGGACACGAGACAATGTGCTGGATGCACTATAAGATCACATAGGCGAAAAGACTAGGCCTCGTTTTATGAGACTCAGGGTTTGCCTAAACCCACCCAACCACTGCGGCACTGCCACACCAGCGTGTGGTTATTGTGTAGATTTCACCCCTGCACCCGCCCCCTGCAAGGTCCTTATGGCCATGGCTCCTGAGTCCTGACTATTGAATTCCTAGGGAGCGTCAGTTGGCAGTTGTTTAAGAAATCTGTTATGGCATCAATCCGCCTCAGCTGGATGTCAGCAATGACAGCAGCAATGAACATGTCAGAGGAACATCAGCAATCAACCAACGATGTAGGCGATGTTGATGGCAGTAATACCGCCACCCTGATCATCATGATCCTCAATCTCCTCCTCCTCATCCTCATCCTCATCCTCATCATTATCATCATCACGAGTTCACATCAACCCTTTTGGTGGTATTCCGCCGCAATCTGGATGTTGTGGCTAGAAGTCTTCTCAGAATTACGGTGATGATTGCTGCCTTTTCTGGGTCTGCGCCTTTGTAGTATTGTGACACCGCGTCCAGCTGTTTGTAGGCTGCCTTAAGGTCTCCCAAAAGGGCAGTTACCATCCCCAATACAAGCTGCGTGCCGGCGACCTGGTGCTGAGGACTGTTTGCTTCGGACCGCTGAGAACAGATATCCTGCAGTGAGACAAGCATATGAGAGGCGGGTAGAGACGGGAAGAAAGGGGATTGACGGAGGGAGGAGTGGGATTAAAAGGAGTCTAGGAGGAAAGAAGGAGGGAGGGGAGAGAGGTAGGGAAGGAGGAACGGAAGCAGGAAGGGAGGGAGGGAGGGAGGGAGGGAGGGAGGGAAGGAGGGAGAAAAGATAGAACAAGGTAAGAAAAAGAGGGAAAGAAGGGTAGGAAAAAGAGAGTCTGAAGGACACTTCAAGGAACACAAAGTGTAGGAGGAAAGGAGAGAGAATGGGAGGAGGGAGCCTCAAAGATGGAGGGAGGGAGGGAGGGRGGGAGGGAGGGAGGGAGAGGTGGCAAGGCAGGAAAGGTAAGAAAGTTGGGAGGGCGAGAGGGAGAGAGGGAGACAGGTCACAGGAAGGCAAGAGGAAGATGAGATGTTTATGATTTTCAATTGTTTTGTGCGGTTCCCTGGACAGACATGATTTGGCTATGGACAAAATTAATTGCTTTAAATTTGAGGATTTGCGTTTTCTTCTTTGAATTCTTCAAAAAACTAGGCTAAGCACAAAACATATTATCCCTTTAATTCTGGCGGTTCCGTTTCCAGTTGTTTATCCCGGGCAACTTGGGGGCAAGCATGAAAGAAAAGACCAAGGGAGATTCTGAAGTGAAAAGATGACTCTCAGAGTCTCAGGATTGCAATAAGGTCCAGCGCTGGATGATACGGGTGTGCACAGGGGACGACGGTCCCACTTGCAAACAGGATTGGATTAAGATCCTGAATCTGGATGTGTTTTCAGCAGCGATGCAGTCTCCGAAAAGTTGTTCAATCTTGACTTTGTGCAGGTTTTCACGAACACGTCCAGATACAGGCAGTCAATCCCAACCTCTTTGCTAGTTGGACCTGGCCCCACGTTCTTTTGAAGCAGATATTAAGATGGGAGGTCTGCAGCTGGGGCTGTGAGGCTACCACATATATAAAAAATTGTACTGGTGCCTGGTCCCATTAGCAAAGAGGATTGGATTTGATTCCTGAATCTGGCCTTGTTTGTGGAAAGATGCAGAAAATTGTGGTTGATCTGCTTCTCTCAGTTCTCTGCCTCTCTGCGCAAAACACATCCAGATTCAGGAATTTATTTATCCAATCGTTTTTGCTAATGGAACCAGGCCCCCAGTTTCGTGTTTGTGTACTAGGGAGTTTTATGCATCTTTGTGCAGGGTAGTACCACTTCCGGGATTGGCCATGAGGAGGGGAGGGGGAAAACAAACCAAGAAAAAGACAGTGTAATGAACCCAGTCTGGAGGAAACTCGTCAAGCGTCGAAGTAACTCAGCGCCGAGAAATGTCTCCAATAATCATGAAATGTGATCTGTGATACAATGTCTCGTAACCAGAGGACGAAGGAGGAGAGGGGGAGAACACACTTATAGGGTGGAAGAGAAAGTATCCATCAATGTCCACGGAGATAGAAGCCCTTCATTCCCCTCTCCCCTCCTCCACGTCAGCAAACAGTGTCCAAGAAACGAGCCTGACAAGATCTAATCACAACGAAGTCCCACGTAGGCACAGTTCTCCCATGAAGACGTCACAACAGCGTGCAATGTCGACATCAGCAACAGGTAAGTCTCCTCTCTCTCTCACTCAATCAATCCACAGATCCCGATCTCCCTCCTTGTCACGTCCAGATCAGCAATGAAGACACTGTGGCATGCGCCACGTCAGCAATGTCGAAGACAGCATGGCATGCACCATGTCAGCAATGTCAAAAACAGTGTGGCATGCGCCACGTCAGCAAGAAAACAGCTGGCGCCAGAGCGGAGAGGCGCCAGCACACGGTGCAGCAGTCTCGCATCGTGGTCGCACAATGCCAGCGTCAAGTCAGCGAGGCAAGACTGAATGTTGACTCCCAGGGGCAGGGTCAATAACAGTCCCAATATATATATATATATCGTCAAATAGAACTGCCCATATATATATATATAATGACGATATATATATATTTGACGATATATATATGTATATATATCGTCACAAACAGAACTGCCCGGTAAACCGTAGGCAGAGAGAGAGAAGAGGACAACAAACGAGGGGCTGTGACAAACTGTTTCGTCGGAGTTTCACCGTAAATATATATATACTAGGAAGATTTTCATGCCCGGCCGGGGCGCCAGGCACCAGGGTGTGCAAAAAAAAAAACAACGGAGGCGCGGCATGTTTTGTGTTCACAAAGGCAGGAAAAGCAGGCATCGGCAACTTTGTCATGGCCTGAGTTCGAAAAGGCGGTTGTAACTCAGGCTGGCAGTGGTGTCCGGGTGGCGGTTTCGTTGATGCGTCTTTTTTTTTTCTTTTTTTTTTTTYTTTTTTTTTTTTTTTTTTTTTTTTTTAACCTGCGGCCACGGCCGCGATGTCTAGGCCACACCCGCGGCTGGGCCACGGCCGCGATGTCTAGGCCACATCCACGGCTGGGCCACGACCGCGATGTCTAGGCCACGCCCGCGGCTGGCCATGGTCGTGATGGGCCACAGTCGTGAGGGGAAAAAAAAGAAAAAAAACGAAAAACACGGATGCCAAAAAAAAAAAAAAAACACGACCTATCGGCCGCGGGCCTTAGGGTTAACGCTACGCGAAGTTCGCGCTTCGGGCAACCGGACCTGGAACGCTGGCGCCGTCAGCCTTTCCGAAAACCAAAATCGAATTGGCGTTTCAGCGGGAAACGGCGCGCAGGGCACTTCCAGGCTCTGCTGCGATAGCTGGGCCAAGTACTGGTGGTTTAACGAAACCGCCACCATGACACCACTGCCGGCCTGACACCACTGCCGGCCTGAGTTACAACCACCTTTTCGAACTCAGGCCATGACAAAGTAGCCGATGATTGTTTTTTGTGCCCATCACGAACTCCCATGTGACATAAAGGTCCTTCCCTCTTTTTTTTTTTTGCCTATCTGCGCTCTCGTAGAGGACCCCAAATCCGGGTTCTTTTCATTTTTTCAGAGTTGGCTTTCAAGGGGGAGGACGGGGGGTATGAATTTGTTTTAAACGAGCTAAGGGGCCTTAAAGGGGGGTGCCTTAGTGTGATTTTGTTATTTTCTCTTTCATCTGGGTGCCTTAGTGTGATTTTGTTATTTTCTCTTTCATCTCCGATTCGGTGAGCAATTCTGATGTGACCCTCAGCCAAACGTTGTTTGTATTGCAATTCTACACAACATTTTTTTTTCTGGATTTTTTAGACTTTCCAGCATCTAAGAAGGCCACAACAACAAATCATCAACAAAGCACTTTAATCACAGCATCTAAGAAAGCCAAAACAACACAAAAAGAAACATTGCCATACTACCTTCTTCCCCTGAATACAATGACATTTCTATGATCATTATAACTGCATTTAGACTGAAAGGTATTCCAAATACAGCGATAATTACCATCCATTGTATTTGGGGGAAGGAGGTAGGGCACAGTCATCGAGTAGACTAGTTGTCAAAACTATGTGCAGCCAGTCAGTTTTAGTCCGACACAAGAGGAATGTCAGTGACCCCAGGAAACATGGGCACAATCACGCCACCTTAAAAGACTCCCAAGAGGAGTGTGTTCTCCGGCTGCTGCCCCCATGAGAAACTCTGCTCTGACAGGCAGAACTGCCTGAGACACTCAATATGAGACTCCATGATCTATGATCGGTGAGAGCAGTTTCACGTGCTGCAGCCTGCTGGAAAATACGGCAATGCAGAACTAGTAAACGGCCATTTCGTCAAAACGGACATATTATATTTTTTGAACGAAATTAAAATTGAGTTTTTGGGCGGACATCAGGTCCAAAATTTTGGCTCCTGAACGCCGGACCCCCTAGATGTATCCGGTCCCGAGCGGAGACCAAATACATCTTGGGAGTGCAGAGCCAAAACTTTGGACCGGATTTCGGCCCAAAAACTCAATTTTAATTTCGTTCAAAATGTATAATATGTCCAGTTTGATGAAATCATTATGGCCGTTAGTAGAGGAAAAACACATCCTGTCACCGTCCGTTTCAGGCAGCAATGCCACGGCATAACACACTGGCACCCGCTCTGGCCCCTTGATGTGCAAAGGGTACTTCTATCAGGCACTACATCCGAGTAAGTTCTTGTAACATCTCGAAATGGGTCTCCACACACACACACACACACACACACACACACAGAGAGAGAGAGAGAGAGAGAGAGAGAGAGAGAGAGAGAGAGAGAGAGAGAGATGAAATGAACAAGGTAGTTGGAATCTTCATGCACGAGATGGTGAAATTATGGACTTGAGCCTTCAGAAAAAGACAGAAATTGCCCTAAAATTTCGCCCCTGTCCAGGCTAATTGTAACCAGTGCTGTCACCGCAGTCACATGAACATGACCAGCCGGTCATATGGCCCTGCGCCTGTGAACGGCCAAACTACGAAAGTGCGGTGTTTTGTTTTTTCCTTTTTTCCGGCTCACCCCGCTACAGTAGCCACAAGCCCCACATCATGATGACATTAAAAAAAAAAAAAAATCAAAATAACCTACAAAACAACAAACAAAAATGCTTATTTAGGCTGGTTCCATGATTTTTTTTTTTTATTAAAAAAATATTCTTCGTGAAAAAAATATGAAAAAAATATAGGGGGTTACCCTCCAATGACCCCCACCCTCCTACAACCCCCTCCCCTCCCCCCGCCAGCCAAAAACAAAAAAAAAAAAACGACCCCGCTCGTCGTGAACTCCGTGAACTCCTATCGGACCCGCCGCCGTTCACAGACCCCATGAACGGTGAACGCGGTACGGCACTGTTTGTAAATTGTAACTTGACTCTCCATTTACCGAATCTCTCTCTCTCTATCTCTATCTCTCTCTCTCTCTCTCTCTCTCTCTCTCTCTCTCTCTCTCTCTCTCTCTCTCTCTGTGTCTCCCTCACTGACACAGTCCCTCTCTGTCCCTCTCTCAGACTCTCTCTCTCTCTCTCTCTCTCTCTCTCTCTCTCTCTCTCAATGTGTATTAAATTTTGAAGTTGATCACTTGGTGATAGTTTCAATATTTATAATATGTTCATTGGGGGGGGGGAAGCAAAGCACACCTGGAGCATGTCAGAGACTTCTCGCAGCTGCGAAAGGCCAAGCGGGACAGATACATTAACCACAGTGCTGAAATCATACGGCTCCGTTGCCAAGGAGGAGTCTGCATGCATGAACATAGGTTTGAGTGTCTGGAGCCATATCTCTACCACTTGGCTACTGCACGCCAGGCTTTTCTCTGTCTCATTCTGCACATCAATGAATCAAGCATCATCCATGCATACCATACATCCACATGCACAGACACACACACACACACACACATATATATGTACTGTAACATATTACGAATTCAGTATCATGCTTTAGGGAACTTAGGGGACTCTTCAGACTGTGGAGGGCTTAGTATCCTGGGTTAGGGGACTCTGCAGACTGTAGGGGGTTCAGCATCCGGAGTCTATGAAACTCATGGCCTCCAACGACACAGTCTGTCACTGCCCCTCGTTTGCTATCCTCTGGTCCCTCTCTCCATACCATTCCTCAGGAAGTTGGGCTTGACTAAACATATATGCACATATAACGTCAAACAGACCTGCCCGGGGTCTACATATATCTATATATATACATAATATATCTATAAACAGAGCCTGTGTTGCCACACGTTCAATTAACGCGTTTTTCGCGTTCATGTTTTGAACGTGGTGAACATGCGTTCATTGAACGCGGCTAAACGCATTTGACGCGTTTGCGCAGGAGGCATTTTTGCCGCAGGGGTGTGGGCTCGGGGATGTGTGTGTGTGTGTGTGTGTGTGTGTGTGTGTGTGTGAGAGAGAGAGAGAGAGAGWGAGAGAGAGAGAGAGAGAGAGAAGAGAGCAGGTAAGTCTCCAACCGCACGGCTGGACTCACGCTACTTCCATCCGTTGGATGAGCAAACTGGAATTAATCCTCCGCTAGACATGGAAATATACACAGCCATTTTTATTATTATTATTATTTTTTATTATTATTATTATTATTATTATTTATTTATTTATTTATTTTTTTTGTGTGTGTGTGTGAGAGAGAGAGAGTGAGAGAGAGAGAGAGAGAAGAGGACAGGTAAGTCTCCAACCACGCGGCTTGCCTCACGCTGCTTCCATCCATTGGATGAGCAAAATGGAATGAATCTTCCGCAAGACATGGAAATATACACTGCCACACTTTTTTTTTTTTTTTTTTGCGTGTTTGTGTGTTTGTGTGTGTGTGTGTGAGAGAGAGAGAGAGAAGAGAGGTGGTAAGTGTCCAACTGCGCGGCTGGCCTCACACTACTTCAAGTTGCACCTGTTGGATGAGCAAAATGGAATGAATCTTCCACTACACATGGAAATACACACTGCCTTACTTTTTCTTTTTTCTTTTTTTTTGTGCGTGTGTGTGTGTGTGTGTGTGTGTGTGAGAGAGAGAGAGAGAGGGAGAGACACAGAGAGAGAGAGAGAGAGAGAGAGAGAGAGAGAGAGAGAGAGAGAGAGAAGAGAGCAGGTAAGTCTCCAACCGCGCGGGTCACCTCAAGCCTCACGCTACTTCCATCCATTGGATGAGCAAAATGGAATGAGTCTTCCGCTAGACATGGAAATATACACTGCCACACTTTTTTTCTTTTCTTGTTGTGTGTACGTGTGTGTGTGTGTGTGTGTGTGTGAGAGAGAGAGAGAGAGAGCGAGGGAGCAAGTAAGTCTCCAACCGTGCGGCTGACTTTATGGTACTTCCATCTATTTGATAAGCAAAATTGACTGAATTTACCGCCAGAACATGGAAATATACACTGCCATGTGTGTTTGTGTGTGTGTGTGTGTGTGTGTGTGTGTGTGTGTGTGTGTGTGTGTGTGTGTGTGTG